CATGCTCAGACCCCCTCACTCTCTCTCCCTGCCAAGACCCCACACCCTCTCTTGCTCCTGCACCTTCTCTTCTGGCCAGAAACTCTACCCCCAGCCTGCTCCTGCACCATGCCCCCTGGCCAAACCTCGTGCCCCAAGCCCTCTCCTGCACCCTCTCTCCTGGCCAGACTCTGCATCCTCCCTCCTGGCCAGACACCCTAAATGCTCAGACCCCCTCACTCTCTCTCCCTGCCAAGACCCCACACCCTCTCTTGCTCCTGCACCTTCTCTTCTGGCCAGAAACTCTACCCCCAGCCTGCTCCTGCACCATGCCCCCTGGCCAAACCTCGTGCCCCAAGCCCTCTCCTGCACCCTCTCTCCTGGCCAGACTCTGCATCCTCCCTCCTGGCCAGACACCCTAACTCCAGTCCACTCCTGCACCCTTCCCTTCTTGCTACGCTTTGCACGCTCACTCCTGGACAGATACCCTACCCCCACCCTGCTCCTGCACCTTCACTTGCTCCTGCGTCCTCCCTCCTGCCAAATACTTACCCCCACCCTGCTCCTGCATCCATTGTTGCTCCTGCACCCTCTCTCCGGGCCACATACTGCACCTTCCCTTGCTCCTGATCCCTCCTCCTGGCCAGACATGTTACTCCCAGCCTGTTTCTGCACCCTATCTGCCACTCGGACCTCGCAACCTCTCTCGCTTCTGCACCTCACCCCCTCCCAATCCTGAATCCTATCCCACTTACTGGCAGCCCTATCCCACACACTGAACCCCTCATTTTTATCCCCACCCCAGAGCCTAAGGGAGTCCATAAAATCCACTAACTTTAGAACACCAGAGAAGGAAGTCTGGCCTATGGGAAGCCCTGAACCTCAGTCCTTCCTGTCCCTTCCCCTCCCCTGTGGGGTTGGAGTGTCAGAAAAGTGAGGTGTCTCAGCTGGGGGGGTTGGAGGAGTTTTTTTGCTTCTCACTTGTGTTCCCCAACTGATTTTTCTGTGGATCAGTGGCTCCCAAAGCAAAAAAATGTTCCCCAAACATGCCATAAATAAAGAAAACATTGAAACCTTTTGTGTTGGGCATAAATTAATATTTTACTTTATTTAAAATGAAGTTTGATAAATTAACATGAGAGCGTTAAAACATTTAATCTGTTTAATAATTAAACCAGTCTCCCTAGCTCCAGCACTAGCAAATGGCTCAGGCTTAATTATGTAATGAATGGTGAGTTTCCATTAGCAACTGGTGGTCTGCGGAAGGGTTTACATTGAGCCAGATTGTCCATGGGCTAAAAAATTTGAGAACCACTGTCATAGACCATAGATAGTTTTGGAATAAAAACTTGAAATAAATGTGATATGTAATGAATAACTGAAATTATGCAGTGTTTTAGCCAAGTTATTTTAGTACAGTTTGTTTAGCCTACTTTTAAAATCCTTTTGACGTAATGCTCATAGAATGAACTTGTTGCATTTTACATTCTTTCCAATGTAGGTCTAACTGGATTAAGGCTGTTCAGATGTGTAGCAAACCTAGAGAATTTGCACTAGCTTTGGCTATATTGGAGTGTGCAATTAAACCAGTTGTCATGCTGCCAATTTGGCGGGAGTCCTTGGGGCACACTAGGTAAGAGAATCTTTGGGAATGTGAAGCATGAGTATTCTACTATGATCAGCAGCATTGGGTGAACTAAAACTAAAGAGTACTGATGAAAATTCAGTCAGACATCAATCAAACATTGCCTAATTCCAAATGATACTGAACTGCTTTTCTGAAAATATATCCTGTTTCCTCACTCTTTTTCCTTCAAACAGTAATTTAGCTAAGCCCCAGCCTCAAATTAAATCACTGGGGGAAGTCAAAGAAGGTAACATAAAAGTAACGTTTATCATAAGTAACACATGATTATTATTATTATTCCTTAACCTAATATTTTTCATTGGTAGTTTTTCCCTTCCAGCTAAATCCTTTTCATTCAAGGGTGTAGTGTATGCCATTTGTTAGGGTGTTTAAATTTGCTCACAAAATTTGTTTGTATTTGCATGTATTAGATTACACAGGATGACAGCTATTGAAAGAGAAGAAAAGGAGAAGGTGAAAAAAAAAGAGAGAAAGCAAGAGGAGGAAGAAACAATGCAACAGGCTACATGGGTGAAATATACCTTTCCTATCAAACATCAGGTGATGATTCTGCCTACCAATTTTTGTTTACTTTTAGGAATAATATAAGGCTTCCTTTTTCTAGCAATTGTCCTTTATACAACTCTGTTTTATACTTAAGATGTTAAGAACCAAATTCTTCACTCCTTTGCATCCATGAGAGTCATGCCCTCATATTCAAACACAGAATTTAACCCAAGTTTATTTTTTGACCTTATTTCTGGACTCGAAATAATTTGAGGTTGCCTGTGTTAGAATTTCTTATTTAAGATGCAAAATGTGCAACTTTTTAATGGAAGTATAGTCGGTGAACTCGTGAGTATCATTGTAAATAAATTTTTAAAAACCTCTTAGTTAAATTGCACAGACATGAGATATGAAACAAACAAACAAAAAAAGACTTGAAACAAAAGGGTTACATGTTAAAAGCTATGATTAGGGCCCTAACAAATTTACTGCCATGGAAAATACATTGTGGACCTTGAAATCTGGTTCCTCCCAATGAAAGCTGGTGTTTTGTATGCTTTCAGCCTATATTACACAGATTTCACATGTGAGACCAGTGTGTGTCATATGGGGGGTCCTAACCCAAAAGGGAGTTGCAGGGAGGCTGCACAGTTATTTTGGGACGGGAGGGGGTCACAGTATTGCCACCTTTACTTCTATATTGACTTCAGAGCTGGATGGTGGGAGAGTGGTGGCTGTGGGTTAGGTGCCCAGCTCTGAAGGCAGTGCATGGCCAGCAACAGTGTAGAATAAAGATGGCAATACAGTACCATTCTTACTTCTGCGCTGTTGCCTTCAGAGCTGGGCATCCGGACAGTGGCTGCTCTGCTGACTGAGTGCCTAGCTCTGCAGGCAGAAGCGTAGAAGTAAAGGTGGCAATACCACATCATGCAGTCTGTTCTTCTGCACTGCAGCTGGCGATGACTCTGCCTTGAAAGCTGGGATCTCAGACAGCAGCCATTGATCTCAAGCTGCCTAGCTCTCAAGGCAGTGCCTCTGCCTGCAGCAGAGAACTAAGGATAGCAGTACTGCAGTTTCCTTCCCCCCAACTCCTTTTATGGATCAGGACCTCCAAACCATGAACCATGGTTACAACACCATGAAATTTCAGATTAAATAGCTGAAATCATGAAATGTATGACCATAAAATTAACGAAAATGGAAGGTGAATTTGGTAGGGTCCTAGCTATGATTTTCTTTAGTGAAGATTCATTTATGGAATTGTCTTGGTTGCAATTGCTTCTGAATATTTTAGAGGATTTGGGTTTTATTGCTCATCCTCAACAGTGGAAAAGAACTAGAACGATATCCTGAACTCATGGGCTAGCAAATATCTTAAGCTAACGTTTGTTAGAATATTGCTGTAGGAAAACTGAGTCATATTGTCACTTTATTTTTTGAATTCATTTTGCAGTGTGTGTCCCTCAATATGATGAAGCTATCAACATTGTGTATATGCTTCTTTCAATGTACTAAAAAAATGCCTATCCAGTGGTGTTGGCATATGTACAGTCTTTATAAACACTAGTGATAGTTAACATTTCAACCCCCTTCACTCCTCAGATAAACCCAAACTTTCTTACATCTTTTCCACTAATTTTTCACTTCTGTTCAAACAGAATCTCAAAGAATATACATGCTTCACAGCATGATCTGAGGATTAGCAAAGTTGGGTTTTGGTGGAAAGCAAATTCTAGTCAGTGACCTTTTCCTAAAAATATCTAACCTCCAACTGCTTCATTGTTAAATCAGGGTGCTATAACCTGTCATCCCTGAAACAAAGCAGGATAACACGAGGGAAGGAGTAGTAAAAGTTAATGGCAACCAATTGATTTAAATAATGAATAGGGGCTGTTTTTATTTCCAAAAAATTTTCTTTGTCTAAAATATTGTACTCCTGAAAAGTTCTATGTAAATGCAAAATAATAGTGTTATGGTGACTTGTTATGCTGCTTTAAATCTATCTTTAAAGGTTTCAGTAAATAATGTTTTAAAAAATTAATATTGTAAAATATTTAACAGGTTTGGAAACAAAAAGGAGAGGAATATAGAGTAACAGGATATGGTGGTTGGAACTGGATTAGTAAAACACATGTTCATAGGTTTGTGCCTAAATTACCTGGAAATACTAATGTTAATTACAGAAAAGTGCTACCAAGTAAGTGTCTGAAATTTTCTTTGTTTTGAATTAATAACATACTACTTATTGAATTTACTGCATAGTTAGTAGACTACTTTAAAAACACCACAGATAAGTAGAAGCTTTTTTGTAAATAATAGTCTCTGTAAATTTTAGGAATTTGCTGGGTTTTTTTCTGTAGATCACATGTATTTCATTTGTCCCAGGAAATTAATAATTTATGCTAAGTTGAGGCAGTTTCTAGTATTCATGTACATATTCACATCTACTTTGTTCATGGACAGTATCCAAACTAGCATTGGATATTGTCAAAATAGCATTCATAATCTAGTTATTGTAGACATGTTTCTGTTTTCTGTATTAAGCAAATACTGTGCCATTAACCAGCTTGATTTAGAAACCGTAGTTGTGCAGTGGGGAAGGAAACCATTCTCTGCAGAAATCATGATGCATGTCTGGAATTTTTGAGAACAAGCAGTCCTATGAATGAACGTGTTATGAGCTCCATTTGGTACCATTGACCCTTAACATTGTCCGCATTTTAATTTAGAAATTAGTTTGCAATTAATTTTGGATTTCCTTTTAAATTTTAGCAAATTGTGGGTGAATTTAATGCTATGAAACTTTTAAAACATTTTCTGGAAGCCACAAAAGCATGCCGGCTTTCTCTGCTATGTTACTTATGGACACGGCCTGTGAGTTACCTTGGTAATTGCTAGGTTGAGTTACTGTTGACTCTTGGAGTGCAGAGTGAAAATCAGGCACAAAATGTTTGCAAGTTGGGTAATGAGGCCAGATTTTCAGGGGGTGAGTGCTTAGTTCTTTCTGGAAATGATGTCCTTTTAAAGTATTTCCCACTGGGCTGCAAAAAACACTGATCTGAATTTTAAAGAGTCACTAAAGACACTGAGCCTGCGGTGGATGGAATTTTTATTATTTTCCGTGATTGGGCCCATAACATACACGTACATATTCAATATTTGAACCCCTTATTTGAATGTATCACTGACGTGTTTCTATGTAGTCTACATGGTTTCTACATATTAACCATGACACACGGTTCATTTTACTAACAGGAGGATAGAAAAGGTAAAATATTGTACATGTCTAAAATGCAAGAAATAAAGTCAATAACAGTTATTCTGAGCAAGTTAGAACATTGAAAACTTTCTACATTTCTAATCTATTGATAATAGCAAAGAATGATGTCATCATTGAAAATCAGTGTGAATTGGACAAAAGAAAAAGTCTGGCAAAAGTGAAAATAGAGACTGATTCTTCTAAAGAAAAAACGAAAGAGTCCCATGATCCACAAAAGAAGGACCAAGCAGAAATAGAAACTTCCGAGACGTTGGAGAGAGTCCAAATAAAGGAAGAAAATAAAATAAGCGAAGAAAAAGTGGAAATTAGTATGAATTCTGAAAACTTAGATCATGCAAAAGATGAAGGTAATATAGACACTTTTTTCAGATCTGAATGTGACATACTAGGGTGCCGTCCAGACCAATAAGAGGCTCTTTCATCCTTGTCTGCACCTTTGGGTGCCTTACATAATCCCTTACGGGTAGCAGCTCCCATCTGGGTTGCTCACAAAGTCTTCCAGCCTGCAAGTCACACCCTGAGTGTCTTTGTATAACTGCAGCCTGCCAGCCACACTTGGGTTACACTCTGGCTCTCACTAGCTTGGGTTATAGTGTAAAGTGACCCCAATACACTCCCGGTCTAGATTTTTCTGCAGAAATGTCTTGGACTACTCATCCCTTTCCTGGAGAGTATGAATATATTAAATCCATTATTCTTTTATGGGAGTCATATACACCAATTTACTGCCATAAGTGGAGTCACCCAGACACTTTGTTAAACATACTGGATTAGATAAAACAAGAAAATAAGTTTATTAACTACAATAGAGATTTTAAGTGAGTACAAAATTGAGTTGTAAGAATAAGAAATGGTTACAAGAAAAATAAAGATAACTGTCTTCATTTTGTTAAACTTAAATTGTGTTAGGTTTCAAGTAAAGTTTCTCACCACGTGCTTTGAACAACATTATTGGCCAGAGTCTTCAAGCCAGGAACCCTCCCCCAGAATCCAATGGCTTTTGCCTTTGCCTTCTCAAGTGTGCAGCTTAAGATAGGTAGAAGGAAGGAAAGAAGAGGCCTTCTTGGGGTGTTAGCCCCTCCATGTTAGAATTTCAGTCCTTTTTTCAAAGGCATTTTCAGTTGAGAACCAAGAGATGGGGAAGTGGTAGAGGAAGGCGACCTCATGCTTTTTCATTAAGATTCAGATCTTTTTCCTGCTCTCCTTTTTTGCCTAAGAATGGCTACTTGATAGATGATGGTCCATTAGCTTCTTTGACATCTGGCTAAGGCATCAGCATTACTTTTCTTTTTGAGAAATTGGTTGAGTTACTTCCCAGATAAATCTGGGAAACACACGTCAGTCATGTCAACGTTGTGAACATAGGCTGTTACATGCATTTTACCATACAATTGATCAACAAGTTCTGAGTTTTCAAAATGCTGCTTCACAAAGCGTGCCTTTTCAATTATTAAATATATGTTCAGTACTCTCTCCCTCCAGTTATGTTAAAGCACAAGTAATCTTAACAAATCTTTTTCAGTTTTGAGAGTCTCAGGTGAAGTTTTCTGTAAATTAGATAGTGAAATGATTACTATATAACAGTACTGTACTGTATGTACATTTCTTAATTTTTTTTTTCTATTCCAGTTAATGTTTGTGTTGCCCTTTGAAAATGTATAATGCTATACAGGCAGTCCCCGAGTTACGCGGATCCGACATATGTCGGATCCGCAGTTACAAAAGGGGATTTTCTCGCCCCGGAGGACTGGAGCGGCGGGACGCCTGGTCCCGATGCCCGTCTCCTCCGGGGCGAGAAAAGCTGCTCCCCGTCTCCTTGGTCTGCTGGGGGAGCCAGCAGACCAGGGAGACACGGAGCAAAGCGGCGGAGGACCCGGGGCCGGACCCGCAGCGCTTCCAGCTGATCTGGAAGCGCTGCAGGTCCGGCCCCGGGTCCTCTGCCGCTTTGCTCCGTCATGTCAATATGGCTTCCTTCTTTTACTTTAGTTGTTTGTGGCTCATCTATGTTTTTCTGTGGACTCACAGATCTACTGCCTACAGATTTAGAATTAGCTTCCAGTTTCATCCTTTCTAGGCGCTGTTTTTCTTCCAGTGTAAACTGTTTTACTCTCCTTTCAAGTAGTCCATCTAATTTTGATGTTTTTACTTTTCTTTTGTAACAAGTCCTTAAGTGAAACCCTTCACTGACATTGATTAAATCTGCTTTAGAGTGAATATCCTCATTTTTTGTGGGGGATTCAATTTTAATATCATCTATCTCCATGGGTTCTTCCTTGATACTTCTATTTTCACAATCAACTTCTCTTTCCACTGTGAACAATAAATATTTTTGTATCATTAGGACCTCTTAGTAATAACACAATGCAATAAATAACTTTCATTTTTACATTACATTGTAAGCAATAACTGCATGTACAGGCAGTCCCCAGGTTACGTAGCTGACTTGGGGACGCCTGGGGTTCTTAAGTTGAATCTGTATGTAAGTCGGAACTGATCAGTTTCAGCAGCGGCTGAATCTGGATGCCAGTTCCGACTTACATACAGATTCAACTTAAGAACAAACCTACAGTCCCTATCTTGTACGTAACCTGGGGACTGCCTGTACATGCAGTTATTGCTTACAATGTAATGTAAAAATGAAAGTTATTTATTGCATTGTGTTATTACTAAGAGGTCCTAATGATACAAAAATATTTATTGTTCACAGTGGAAAGAGAAGTTGATTGTGAAAATAGAAGTATCAAGGAAGAACCCATGGAGATAGATGATATTAAAATTGAATCCCCCACAAAAAATGAGGATATTCACTCTAAAGCAGATTTAATCAATGTCAGTGAAGGGTTTCACTTAAGGACTTGTTACAAAAGAAAAGTAAAAACATCAAAATTAGATGGACTACTTGAAAGGAGAGTAAAACAGTTTACACTGGAAGAAAAACAGCGCCTAGAAAGGATGAAACTGGAAGCTAATTCTAAATCTGTAGGCAGTAGATCTGTGAGTCCACAGAAAAACATAGATGAGCCACAAACAACTAAAGTAAAAGAAGGAAGCCATATTGACATGTCTCCCCAAGACAGAACCTATGTATCAGGTAAGATCCAAATTGAGGATTCAGTTCAGGACTGCTTGCCAACCAGCAGTACACCTTGTACCAAAACCAGGGACCTAGATCGGCCTTCTTTGTCTTCCATAGATAGACAGTCAAAAAGAGAAGGGCAAGTACTGGATGATATATCTGAGATTCAAAGCTTAGTTCAGAATATCACTAAAGAAGGTGATTCTGAACCAATTGCTACTAATAATAGTCAAGGACAAGAGGTTCTTAAAAAGAGTGTGTGTGAGAACCTCCTCCTGGATGATTTAAAAGAAACAAACAGAGAAGATATAAGCAAGTGTGATACCTTAGAAAACAGTGAAAAATTTTCAGAACGAAAAATATTGAATACAACACTATCTCAGAGTGAATGTGAGAACCTATTACAGCCAATGGCATCTGAAAACAGCTGTGAAACAGACATTCAGCCCATTGCTGAAAAAGAAACCTCAGAAGAAAAATCTGAGAAACAGGTCCATGACCCAGAAAATAATTGCACACTGAAAAGCCATTCTGAACCATTGTCCCCGCAAGAAGATGAAGAGGGAAAAGATGATAATGCTCAGAAAAACACTGATGGTAAAAGTGAAAAGATTTTATTTGATCAGAAACAATCATTAAAAACCAAGCTAATCTTAGAAAAAACACCTGACAGCCAAACTCCTGAACACATGGATGAAATAAATGTTGGTGATGATTTATTGAATTCTATCACTGAAGCCAATGGTAAAAAGCAAAGTCAAGAACAGAAAATGGAAGCAGGTACCATAAACAAATGTCTTGATCAGCTGCATCTAAAAAGCATCACTGACAAAAAGAACAATAAAAATGGAGAAATTGAGACTACAGTGGAGAGAGAGAAGTCAGTGGCATTTCAAATTAATGGCAAAAACAGTGAGATTAAGCTATTGTCAAAGGATGAATGCTTAATGAAAGATGGTAGTGATACTAAGGCAGGGAGTGATATTGAACCTAAAGTCAATAATATTAGTAAATCCATTCCTGAATATGAAATAAAGCCATTGACTCTTAAAGAATCTTCCGGAAAGCCGTTCATGAATGGGGATGTCACCATGGAAGACACAGATTTAAAAAATAACTTAAATACTAAATTATGTTTGCAAAGTTCGCTAGAGAGTGGTGGTGAATCTGCAGAGTGTCTGCTGCCTTCAGATAAAATGTCCAAATGTTTGCAAAATATTGGAGAAAAGCAGCATTCTCTTGAAAGCTCCAGGTTTGTTGATAATGCTTCTAAACAAGCAATTCTTTCCTCTAATGAAAATAACACGATTAGTGAAGCAGAATCCATGAAAACGGAAGCTATTGAGGATAAGGAAGTTGCACCCTCACCAGTAACTTCCTGTGAGGAATCTAGCTTGAGTAGCGACTTTACTGATCAGAATGGCCAGCAGACACATAATAAAGTTGAAAATATCAATGGAGAAAATAAAACAAAAACTGTTATTACAGAAGTGACCACCACAACATCAACTGTTTCCACAGAATCCAAAACTGTGTTTAAAGTAGCAGACTTGTCAACCTTCAAGGATGATAAACAAACAGTATCTACAGAAAACTGTGCCATTTCCACTGTAACTACCACTACCACTGTTACTAAACTTACCAAACCTGCTGCAGACAGCAATATAGATGTCATCTCTGTACAGGAGCACAGTAAAACTGTGATTACTACAACAGTAACTGATTCATTAACTACTCCAGGCGGCACATTGGTGACTTCCATGACTGTGAGCAAAGAATATTCCACAAAGGACAAAGTGAAGTTAATGAAATTTTCAAGACCCAAAAAGACTCGTTCTGGAACAGCCTTGCCATCTTACAGAAAATTTGTTACCAAAAGCAGTAAAAAGAGTATATTTGTTTTACCCAATGATGATTTAAAAAAGTTGGCCAGAAGAGGAGGGATCAGAGAAGTTCCCTATTTCAACTACAATGCAAAACCTGCCATGGATATTTGGCCATATCCATCCCCAAGACCAACTTTTGGTATCACTTGGAGGTACATACTTAATGTTTCCTTTTTTTAAAAAAGAATTTGGGATGGGGTAAAGTTAATTGTAAAAGTGAAAGCAATACACAATGCATGCAAGAGGTAATTTTTATTGATTTAAGGTGGATCAAAATACATGAATCATTCTTCTTCCGCATAATAAGCATCCATACACCAGCTTGCACTGAATTCACTGAAGGTGTAAATTACAGGTGATATAAAGTTTGACTTTATGGAAAGTTAGTGCACAGCAAATTATGCTCCAAATTTACAGCACACTAGCTACTCCAGCACTACCTCCCTGGTGCTTTTGGTTTCAATAAGAATGTTTGCATACAGAGATAGTGCTGAGGAAGCAAGTGCACTTTAAATTTACACCCTATCTTGCTGTGCATTAACTTCCTGGTGTAGACAAGCCCTTATTAATTTGTGTTCTAGTTCTGACGTTGACAAGCCCTCAGCTGCCACTTTTTGAATGGATCCAAACAACATAGAACCAGAGTTTAAAGCAGTGTTATAGCAAGGTTTACCATTCAAGAAAAGTGATCTTGTCCACACTAGTCAAAAAAGGTAAAAATAGGTTTAAATGGAACTGCTTCTCAGGCTTTGTTTAAAGACTAGCGGAGATGTAGCCTCAGTCTTTCCTATAATCAGTGAATATGTGAAATAACGCCTTGGAACAAAATAGTTTTGAGGTGGTTTATTACACAGAAATAATCATATTTAAACAAGGTTGTGGCTCAGCTACATTATAATGTTTTCTTTTGGTCTACTGTTTTTGTGATGACCATTGGAGAAAATATTACCGTTTCTAAAGCCCCATGTTTTTCTTTCAGTAGAGTTATCTACATTAGAAACAATGCATAAAAATAGAAGCCAGACTATACTAGCATTCGCATAGGTGAAAAATGCAGCAGTGGGAAATGTTAGAAAAAGTTAAGTGTAGACACCATTTCTATTAAGTTTAAAATGTCATTATAAATTTACTTTTGATACCCTATGTGGATGAAAGAGATGCTGTAATACACCTTTAGCCCTAACCATGTTTAAACATTTTTTTTTTTGTGTATGAAGGCTTGGTTTGAATCTTAATTTCTTTCAACGTCCTAATTGTCTTGGTTTTATGTGAGCTTTCTTTTTTGACACAAAACCCTTTGTACAGGTGGGCCTGAATGTTACATGGTGTATTGTAGATTTGCCTGCTAAAGCTCTTCCACAATTTTGTATATCTCCACTGCATGTCCACACAGACTTATGTGCTTTAGGGCTTGGTTCTGCTCCCATTCAAGACAATTGAGAAAATTTCTATTAACTTTACTGGTGCAGGATCAAGGTCTTAATGAGACTCATCTTAACAATTTTAGTCTCTTCTAATGACAAAATGCTTGCCAGGAATCATTCTAATTGCTCTGTCTTCACCTTAAAAGGTAACCAAAATCTATTATTTCAAAAAAGCAGTAACTGATGCTGAATTATGTTATGAAAGTTTCTTTTGATTCATTCTTGATCTGTTTGTATAAACCACTGTTGCTTGAAAAATCTTCAGTATTACAATCAGGCACTGCTATTTTATTTTTGATATTGAAATCATCATAATCATTCCTATAAAAAAGCTGAAAAGTAAGTTTTTCTGGTGGGGAGGGATTTGCAGATTACTGCAGAAAATCTTCACTGAAGTTTATAGACCTACAGAAACATGTAACTTTGAAGCTGAGCTTATTAAGACAGGCCCCATATTTTGTCCCTGGTAAACTCCCAGCTTCAGAAATTACTGTTAATCACTTTGTGCTAAATCTGAATTCTTACTACACTGTAAGACATTGCTTAGATATCAAACAAGTGTGCCTTGACTTTACCTATCCTTCATAAGTGTTCTGTTTAAATTCCATATGTTTTTCCTCTTGAGTGGGATTTGATGAAGGGATTCTTTTGGGTCAGCCTGTTTGGTATGTTCCTCCGAATGCATAGTGGCATTACTGCAATTGCATGTTAATAATTTGATAACATTCTCTTTACTTCATTAAAATATGTTTAATCTACCTTCCGCTTCCCAGCTCTTGGGTTTAAAATGAGGTGTATTTGTGCACACATGTCCTTTACCCACTTTGTAAGAGCATTCTGTACATACTTTGTGACTGCCTTGCTGCAGCCATTTTCAGAGCAAATATATGCCATGCATTCTTCTATGAATTATCAATCTTAGTTTAGAAAACGCGAGGTTTTTAGCTTTGTCAATTTGTTCTGGACCATTTAAACACACACACGATTGCTACTTAAGAAAAGTGTAAGTTTTTATTTCAAATTTGACCTTGTATGCCATCTAATACAAATAATTCCACTCTGTAACGCTATAGAATATTTAGTTAATGTTTCTTGTACACGGTTTTTGCCAGTGTAATGAGGAATAAAGGAAATTTTTGTAGGATACAACAAATAGTGCAGAATTTAGGAGTGTTTGGTGCAGCATCTTACCTGGCTGTGCAATGTAGTTGTGGGGAGACCTCACACATGTCCAGCCTTGATCTACATATTCAGTACACATTGGCATCAATGGGAAATCTTTGGGAAGCCTAGGGCAGTATGAGTTTGAGGAGCTGAAAAAATTATAAGTCGTCTGAAGAAATGGGTTTTTCCCCACAAAAGATTGATACCATCTACATGTTTTGTTAATCTTTAAGGTGCTACTAGACTATTAGTTGTGTTAAGTTTTTCTAGTTACAGACTAACTCGGCTACTCCTCTGAAGTTTTGAAATTATAAGTGTTCGTGCTACGTAAATAGAGGTACAATGAAAATCCTTAAGGTCTTAGGTTTGGTTCATTATTAACATATTTAGTTTAAAATGTAACTTTTATTTGTGTTTAGTTTATTTATTTATTTTTGTGTGGCTTGTTTCAGATATCGACTTCAAACGGTAAAATCTTTGGCTGGGGTGAGCCTTATGTTGCGGTTACTCTGGGCATGTTTAAGATGGGACGATATGGCTGCAAAACCCCCACCTGGGGGAGGAACTACACGCACAGGTGATATGTTTTATAAGCTTTTGCCTTTTTAAAAATAAATACTTTTTATTGTCAGTTTAGAATATTGTCACCTGAGAGTCTATCTAGAATTTCATTTGGCTAAAATATAAAATTAACATTAAATGGCTTACACCAATTGCTATTTTACATATTTTGATTATCTTAGAGAAACTGATGAATCTATTCAGTCTAAATGCCTTACTTTTATTTGTAAATTTTCGCAAAAATCTAAACCAGTAACTAAGTATAGAGTTGCTTCTAAAACACTACTTGCGGAAGTTAAGAAAAAATTCCCCCATCTTGGGTGAAATTCTGAATCCATTGAAGACAGTAATGCCGGGATTTTATACCACCTTACTGGTGATAGTATTATTTTACAGAATGATGGTGTTTAAATATTTCTTTGACATAATCAAAATTGGCCAATGTGTGAGATAAATAATGTATTCTGATATTACACCTCTTGTGTTTCTAGAAACAGACTATCTCTTAAAATGTTTGGGGTTTTTTCTGGTTATTTCTGCCATTTTTCATTGCAATATTCAATTTCCTCACAGTAGCCCATATTTTAAAATTGGCATGCATTCTTTTGTGCATACCTTACTTCCATGTGCACAAGTCAGGAGTTGTGTGTACACATGCCTTCATGCAGGTATAAGCAAAAATCCAGGTTTGGAAATCTGAGCCTGTTCATGTAGGCATTTGAAATAGCTTTTATAGTTGCTTGTGAAATTCAATTGATTTTTAACTTATTTCTCCACAACTTTTCCTGGCTTTATCTCTGGTGACCATATTGTTTACCTTTTATTTTGTAACATAATTAATAAATCATATTGGGATTAAATCACTGTAGAAACATCTGAAACTGAAATTACGACAACTGAAATAATCAAGCGGAGAGATGTTGGCCCCTACGGAATTCGTTCAGAGTACTGTATAAGAAAAATCATTTGCCCTATTGGTGTACCAGAGGCTCCAAAAGGTATGTTTGCTTATAGATCTTCAAACTTCATCATAAATTTGATAGAAATAAATTTAACTAAACTTTCCTAGTAACCCAGACTACCAATGGGGAGAGGGCAGTATTGCACCAATTGAGATTAGTATCCATTCTCCATTCAGTTATGTTAGATAAATAAATCTAGTCATTCTCTTAGATTTATTATCTTAAAGCCAAAAGTCTTCCCTGTTTCTAAAATATTAGCAAATATTAATGAGACAATATATGGTAAATCTTCTCTATAAGCAGGATATCCTGTCCTTAATATGTTAAAAGAAAATGATCAAATAAGAAAAAAATTAACCCAACTCCATATGTACATCTATTGTATGATATTGTAGATTCAACTATACATACATACATACATATAAATAAATTAATAAATGTTTACATTCTCTGATTTTTCACTAGCTATGTCTTCTTACAAAACAAGTTAAAATGAACCTATCCATAGAGATCTTTACAACTATAGACATAATTATCTTTTTCTCCTGGTTCGATTAAAATCTAATAGCCCTCCTAAAAACAACTTCAGCATCTAGCTTCCCATTAGTCAAATATAGCTTGTGGTTCTGTTTTACTTAATATAGATTCTTGGAACGTAATGATACTCAGATTACATCTTTTACGGGTAGGTTGGAATTTTCAAACATCTTCAGCTTTGGCCTAACAGTGTTCCCATTGAATTTAGTGGGAGTTTGTCTGAAAATCTTACTCTGAATAACCTCCATTTGTGAAAACTACAGAATTTGTGTAAAAATTGACACTAAATAAACTTATATTTGGATTTTAATTTTATTTCCTGGTTTATTTTAATGAGTGTTTGACTTTCCCCTAAAGAAACTCCTACACCTCAGAGGAAGGGCCTGCGATCAAGTGCATTGAGGCCAAAGAGGCCGGAAACACCCAAGCAAACAGGTCCCGTTATCATTGAAAGTTGGGTAGCAGAAGAGGAATTGGAATTATGGGAGATCAGGGCATTTGCTGAAAGGTAAGATGACAAATTAAATGAAGAATTTTAGTTTGTGTGTGCACATTAAGGAAAGGCTCTAATCATATTGCCCATACTATGGGTGATACCCAAAACAAATAAAAAAATTAAGCTTTTTATGTTGTCTTTGATGTCTTTTCAAAGAATGGGCAAAATTAAAGTTGAAAGAGCAAGTTACTAGTGATGCCAGAAACTAATTTAATTGTGGCAGATACGTAAACCTTCACACAAATGTTTTTTTTTAATATAGTATGTAGTATCTAAGTAAATCACCATTTGGCAACATTATGAAGTAAACAGTGTTGTGTGCCAATCGATTATTTCTGTGCAGCATGAGTCCTTCTGACATGCACATTGCTTCTAAACTAGAAATGTTTTAAATCATTCTGTAACAAGAATGAAACAAGTCAGCCTTTAAATCTCAAAATACACACTCATGAAAGGAATATTCATAGTGCTTCACTTTTAGAGGAAAAGTTATAACTAGATCTTTATATTGCTTACCCAATAAAGTGCTGTTGTTTTGAGCTGTTGGTGTTATTCAAAAAGTGGTGTTTTCAGTCTTTCAAAAATAGCTATAGACCACAGTCTTGATTAATAGTTTCTTTGAAAGCATTGCATTCATTTGCTTTAGAATATTTGAGGAAGTAGTCTAAGAAGCAAGACTAATTCTTGTAAAATCAGTTAATTGGATAAAATGAAATACTTCTTTTTTTTGTACAGTGGTAATTTTCTCTTTGGTTGCTTACCTTTGGCAGGGTGGAGAAAGAAAAGGCACAGGCAGTTGAGCAGCAGGCTAAGGTTAGTGAACAGAAGAAGGCTGAGGAATTCACGGCCCAAATGGAGGTTCAACTAAAACAGCAACGATTGGCTGCCCAGCAGGTGGGGGAGCCATGGGTAGTCCCACCTGTCAAAAAGCTTGTATTGTTAGTCTGCGTACATCCAAACACAGGAAATAAGTATGCTCACATAATGCCATTTTTTAAATATAATTGTAACTTTTCCACTATATATACAAATTCAGCATTCTGGGAAGATCCTCCTGATATATTAAATATTGTCATTTACTGTACTTAATCATAGAATATTAGGACTGAAAGGGACCTCGAGAGGTCATCGAGTACAGTCCCCTGCCTTCATGGCAGGACCCAGTACTGTCTAGACCATCCCTGATAAGACATCTATCTATAATGTTAAATATCTCCAGAGATGGAGATTCCACAACCTCCTTAGGCAATTTATTCCAGTGTTTAACCACCCTGACAGAACCTGTTTTCTAATGTTCAACCAAAACCTCCCTTGCTGCAGTTTAAGCCCATTGCTTCTTGTTTTATCCTCAGAGGCCAGGAAGAACAAGTTTTCTCCCTCCTCCTTATGACACCCTTTTAGATACCTGAAAGCCGCTATCATGTCCCCCCTCAATCTTCTCTCTTCCAAACTAAACAAGCTCAGTTCTTTCCGTTTTCCTTCATAGGTCATGTTCTCTAGACCTTTAATCATTCTTGTTGCTCTTCTCTGGACCCCCTCCAATTTCTCCATATCTTTCTTGAAATGCGGTGCTCAGAACTGGACACAGTACTCCAACTGAGGCCTAATCAGCGCAAAGTAGAGCGGAAGATTGACTTCTCGTGTCTTGCTCACAACATACCTGTTAATGCAGCCCAGAATCATGTTTGATTTTTTTTGCAACAGCATCACACTGTTGACAATTTTATAAAGCTTGTGGTCCACTATGACCCCCTAGATCCCTTCCTGCATACTCCTTCCTAGACAGTTGCTTCCCATTTTGTATGTGTGAAACTGATTGTTCCTTCCTAAGTAGAGCACTTTACATTTGTCCTTATTAAACTTCATCCTGTTTACCTCAGACCATTTCTCCAATTTGTCCAGATCATTTTGAATTATGACCCTATCCTCCAAAACAGTTGCAACCTCTCCCAGCTTGGTATCTTCTGCAAACTTAATAAACATGCTCTCTATGCCAATATTTAAATAGTTGATGAAGATATTGAACAGAACCAGTCCCGAAACAGACCCCTGTGGAACCCCACTTGTTGTACCTTTCCAGCAGGGTTAATACATTTAATTATTTTGACGTACAGGGCTATAACAGGTATTTCTTTATAATTACATTTCAGTTTTGTAGACTCAGTTTAGATTGTGCCCCAAAAATTCCCTTCCACCTTTAAAAGAAAAATATGAAGTAACAGCCTCCAGGTGAGATCAGAATCATTCCATGATGTGGTGGAAAGCAGCTTTAGCACATAGTTGGCTGTGAAATTGGCCAGATTAGTTGTCATGCTAGAATTAGGACATTTCTGATTTTGTCTGGGTGTAAACATGGAAGGGGGTGGTTGGCTTTTAACCTGATAATTAATAGTACCCAATATCTGATCACAGGTTGATGTTTGCACTGTGAATGTTACAATGAAGAATTGTACAATCTTTCCAGAATTGTTTCATTTTCCCTTTTTGTTTTGTCTTCTCTACAGACATTACATTTCTCACTGATAGGTTGTTTCTAGGCTACAGGTTTTTTCTAAAAAAGTGGCCTTTTTCGAAAAAACTTCCCCTGCGTCTAGACTGCTGCTGCGTTCTTTCGAAAGTAAATTGAAAAACCTGCCGTGTTCTTCCAACCACGGAAAACCTCATTTTATGAGGAAGAACGCCTTTTTTCGAAAAAAGTAGTGCAAACTGTGCTTTTTTGAAAGAGAGCATCCAGACTGTCCGGGTGCTCTTTCAAAAAAGCGGCTTGCTTTTTCGAAAGTACTGGTTGTAGTCTAGATGCTCTTTTTCGAAAGAGGCTTGCAGTCTAGACGTAGCCATAGTGATTAACACCAGAAATAGTGTATTAGAAGTATCTAAGCATAAAATAAAATGCCCAGCATTAGTCAGCAAGCCTCCAATTACTTTATTTTCTAACGCTTATGCCATTTTATATCTTAAATTATTGGTATTGTTTGTTCATGTGTGACTAATAAGAAGAAATAATGTTAGTCCATAAGCAATTCTATCCTCTTTTTCCTGTCTTGCAGTCAAAAGTCAAATTGATACAGAGCACTGCTCATCATGAAAGATTTATGAAATATATTGGAAAACATGCATATTACAGTTGGCATTATTGAATTGCTTGTAGATAGCCATCTCTCAAGTACAAAAGCCCATTGCTTATGACAGTAAAAGCATTTGAAACCTTTAGTATGTAAGGGATTCCTGATTTTGGTTTTGAGTAGTCTAGAGGTTGGCTTAGTCAGAAGATGACGGTAAATGAGATGAAGTAGAAATGGAGATACCTTGATGTTCTGATACTTTGCTACATTAGCAAAATAAAGTTGCAGCCAGCATTAAATTCAAGAAAGCTGACAATAATTAAAAAATGAGCTACGTATAATACAGGTTTGCATCTGTCCTTGAAATTGATGAATCGTGAACACAGTCATGAACACACATTGAAACCCAAAATATGGGCATATATCTCCAGATTATAGTTTATCATGGTAAAAACACCCTACCTTTAGATCTTTCATATTGTTTGCTACTCTAAGAATAGTGAACAAATGAACTGGATTGATTATATACAGCATTCTGAAGAGGCCATATTTGTAATATTTTGTGCTGTGTAGCACACTGGACTTAATACAACTTCAATAAATAAAATATTTTACAGCAAATTAAAATATCACATGTGTGTTTCAATTATGATAACTTGATAGCAATCTGGAATATAGTCTTTTTAAATAATTTAGGATTTAGATTTGGAAAAATTAGGTTTTCATGTTTTGTGGAATCCATGCATTGTAACTTTTCATTTATGGAGTTTTTCTTCTAATCTCTATAGAAACGACTGGAGCAACAGAAGCAGTTACCTACAACAGCTTCTGCAGTCACTACAGCAAGCAGTACTGCAACCACTGCCTCCACTCCACAGAAAGTTGTGGTAGGCCCATTAACAGGCCCAGTTCCTACTGGAACCAAAGTAGTGCTCACTACAAAAGTGGGCTCTCCAGCTACTGTAACATTCCAGCAGAACAAGAACTTCCACCAGACTTTTGCTACCTGGGTTAAACAAGGCCAGTCCTCAGCAGGTAAATGATTTGTGCATTTCAAGCTAATAACTAATTAGTCATTACATAGGGATGTTAAATTTAGATTAATCAGCTAATCGAATAGTCAATGCAATTTGCATTGACTATTTGATTAGTCGATAAGGGAACCTCTCCCTTGGAAGTGTAGCAACAGCCCCAGGGGCGAAAGCTCTGCGGGGAGCACAGGGCTAGGGCGGGGGACACACACAGTTCCCTGCTGGCACCGTGCTTCCCATGGTGTTTCAAAGCAGCAGCGCCACTTGGAGCCTGGGGTCAACAGGCGAGTCTCCTGCTGACCCCGGGCTCCACACAGCACTGCCACTTTGAAATGCCGCATGCTGTGGCTGGAGGCTGCACGTGGTATTTTGAATTGGCAGTCCCGCATGGAACCCAGGGTCTAGCCCTGGGCTTCACGCAGCGCTGCAGCTTTGAAGCACCCCCTTCACTCCCCACTCTCTTGCTGCCTCTTTATGATAGAGGCCACAAGCAGGGGGAGTGACTAGTTGACTAACCTGTTGACTATCCGATAAGCATTTGCTTATCAGATAGTCAACTAGTCATTGACATCTCTAATTATATAGCACGCAAACTCTTTCTCTAGACTATAGCAACATGGAGTTTTAATTTGTCATCTTTGTGGTTAATTTTTGTTACCATTTTGAGAGGGAGCTGGAGAACAACTGCTTTTGTCTAAAGAAGAATGCCCCCTCCCTAGGTGAATGTGTCCTGCACTCACAAGCCATGTAGATTTCTGATCTATGCTAGTTTTATCTATAATCATTTCTGGTGAATGTATTCTGTACATAACGTCTCTGTTTCAACAAACCTTTAAAAGATATAATGAGAAGAAAATGACATGACACATGCATAAGTCAGGGGACCCATCTCACCTCCCTAGCTCCAGCACACAGCCAGGGTGGGCCATGTGGGGGCTGCTCCTGTCCTGGCTACAACTCCAGGCCTGGGGAAAAGTGGCAGTGGCTGCCCCCCTGGTCCTGGGGTGGGCAAAGGTTAATTTCATTCCAGCCCAGGACAGCAACTGCAACTTCTCCAGTTTTCCTTTTTTTATACTTAAGAAATAGTCAGTATATACTCATAGTAATTAAAGTCAAAAAATGACTTTCTTTTTTTCAATAGCTACCAGCACAGCTGCTACATCAGCTACAACCATTGCCAGCACAGGTCAGACCTTCCAGATTGCAGGCAGTCCAGTAACTATGGCAGGCAAAGTGATAACAAAGTTGCCACTTCCAGCAAATAGCAAGATTGTTGCTGTCAATGTGCCATCAACCCAAGGAGGTAGGGGAAACATGTATTTTCTAACTTTCAAATTCAGATTGCATTGGCATTTTCACAGTGAAATAAAATGTGATTCCTTTCTCTTTTAAAAAAAAAAAGGGGGGGGGGGGTATAAGTCTCTGCAGCTTTTTTCTTACTCCCCCTCCCCTCTAAAACAAACAATAACAATTGTTTTCAGGCAAAAAAAAGTAGGTTTGTATATTAAATTTCAGCCTGCTCTTACTGGTGACTTTGGGCCTTGCACTGTGAGTCCTACAGTACACAGTCATAAGCTCTGATTTCTTTTGACAACCTAGAATGCAAAATTTTATTTTCAGAATGACATCAGCAAAAGGATTTTTAAGAGTGTTACAAACCAGCTGCAACTGCTAGTTGTTGTAAATAGTTATTCCTTAGAAGCTGGTGTCATTGATTTTACTGATCCAGGCAGTAGTGTTGGACCCTTTTTTTTTCCTCTTGATTTGAAATAACATGACGTTCTGTGAGCTTGTGGATGGCACATTATTTCTTCCCCAAACAAAAATACTCATTCTTCTGTCTCCACTTTATTTAATCTATGATAAAAGCATAGAAATTGCTAGTGATCCATGGTTCTCTTTTTAGGGAGGTGAAAAAGCTTTATCCATGTTCTCCAGCTCCATGAATTTGAGATGTTGTTTAAATAAGTCACTTAGAAGCAATGTCCATATTTAAATGTGTGTAAATAATAACCACTTGTACATGGTACTACACGTAGGCAAGAGCCTCGTAAAGATTCATAGAGAGGTTTACAACTATGAAACACTGTTCTTTCCCCAAATCCTTTTTAAAATATCTGTCTGTGGACTGTTACTGTGGAGTGAGTTTTACAAGCAGCAGAAGAGGTAATGCTACTTCTTTGAAGTTTCTGCCAAGAGATTTTTACAGAAGTCTCAGATGTGTCATAAAACCGTAGTGTGTGAACACTGGATGCTAGCGTTGCATCCCTATGATTTATTACCTTTTGAAGGTTTTTGTAATTAATGGATTAATTCTTTGTTATTAGGTGTTGTTCAAGTTCAACAAAAAGTGCTGGGTATCATTCCATCAACTACAGGTGCAAATCAGCAAACATTTACTTCATTCCAGCCCAGGACAGCAACTGTAACTATTCGGCCAAATACCACAGGGACTCTAGGTACAACAAGTACTTCACAAGTAAGATGTTTTTCTGAACTTTATCAATTACATGGGTTAGTATTGGAAGTCCTGGAAAGATACACAGACAAACACAGGAGCAGGATCCTACATACGTTTTTAATCCACAGAGATGAATGTATTAGTGTCTCCATGAAACAAATCTTAAAGGTCTGCAGTTTGAGAGATTTTTTTTCAGGGTTGATACTGTAGCAACTAGACTGACTCTTTAAGAGCTATGGTGCATATGCAGATGCACAGCAAGTCTAATAGACACTTAGGATTTTTATTAGGATTATTGAACTACAGGTGGACCTCCCTGATCCAGCACCCTGGGGATTTGACTGGTCCCGAAGGAGAGAGTTTGCCGGACCGCGGGAGATTGGCCTCTGCCTTTGGGCTATTGGGCTCCAACTCCTTAGCCATCCCCGGGGCTGCCAGGACTCTGCTGCCCTGGGGCTGCCTCTGGGTGCCAGGACTCCACTGCCCTAAGCCGGGACTCTTTGACCCAGCAATATCCATGGTCTTGCTAGACCCCGGATGTTGCCAGACCAGAGAGCTTCAACCTGTATAAAAGTTTTCAAAAGTTGTGCTTTGTTATGTAAGAGATGCAAGTTTTGAGTCAGACTAGAAATAAGGTTGTACAGTACTTAGCCTAGTACAGTGGGGTGTTGATCAATGGCTTGGGTGTGCAGGCAGTATGGCAACACAAATAACAATGTGCAAATTTAACCCAAAGGAAAATTAATTGGAATAACTTTCCTAATGATTAGGAAGGGTAGTCCCATTAGTCTGTATCTGCAAAAATGAGGAGTCTTGTAGCACCTTAGACTAACAGATTTATTAGGGCATAATAAGCTTATGGTGTAATAAATTGGTTAGTCTTTAAGGTGCCACAGGACTCCTCCTTGTTTTTAACCTAAAGATGAGGTGGATTCTCCTTTAATGCAGTCTTTAAATCAAGACTGGATCTCTCTCTCAAAGATGTGTTTCATTTCAAACAACGTTGTGATCATGATGCAAATCCTATTGAGTCAGGTTCTCTGGCCTATGTTATGCTGCGGTCAAATTAGATAATCATAATGATTCCTATTGCCTTGATATCAGTCTGATTCTTGGATTCAGTCTTCCGTTCCCTATGCTGGTGTTCATATTTGGTCAAAGTGGGAGGATAAACCCATGCATAATTTTTTTTTACCAATCAAACATGCACTTCAGTATTGCCCTTCTTCACTTTTTGCTGGTATCTACAATGCTGGACTTCATAGCACATAGTTGTAATGGGAAATTCATACTTTTCAGAGCTAAAAAACTGCCAGGACAGTAAACAGGACAGAGTTTTGCTAACGTTGGCTTTAACAGGATTTTCAAGCGTGCAACATAAGCTACTTGCATCCCTGTATTTCTCAGTTTGTGAAGAATTCAAGGTTCATCAGGATATGCCCTTTTTGAAAAGTTTTATGTGGTGTTTTGCTGTTTCTAGGTAATGCCAGGGACCCCATTGCGTCCAGGTATGACAGTAATACGGGCACCACTTCAGCCATCAACATTAGGAAAGGCCATCATTCGAACACCTGTAGTGATGCAGCAAGGTATTCTTCCATCCAGTAGGTTAATTTTAATTTTAAACTTCCAGTGTGTGAAAATCATGGTTTGTGTCTCCATAAACATTTTATTTATCATTCATCCTAACTTAGAAATTAAAGTATCTTGTAAGTAAATTGCAAAATGTTTTACGTCTTCAAATCAGATTCATATTTTTCTTGGTTAGTCAAAGAAGTGACTATTAGTAAATATTCTGTGGCACAGGAGCAAGCTGGGAACTAGAAATTTTGTGTGTTAGAATGAAAAAGTTGGAAATGTATTTTTAACTTAAATTTTGCTGTCTTTAGCAGGTCAGTCTCAACAAGTGGTGACTCAAATTATTAGAGGTCAGCCTGTCTCAACTGCAGTGTCTAGTGCTAGCACAACTTCAAGTCCTGGACAAAAGGTAACAACAGCTCCAGGAACACCTCCACAGAATATACAACCACAAACCACAACACCGCAGCCCACTCGTCCCCAGCAAGGGCAAGTGAAACTTACTATGGCCCAACTCACACAGCTAACTCAAGGACAGGTAAACATTTTTTGTATAGATTCCAACATCAAAAGATATCTGTATGGGCTTTTGTTTGCTTTTTTGCAACAGTGTTCTACTGTTGATTTATATTTAGTTTGTGGTTCACTGTGACTCCCTTAGATGCCTTTCCACAGTATTCCTCCTTAGGTAGTTATTTCCTATTTTGTATGTGTGAAAGTGATTGTTCCTAAATGCGGTACTTTGCATTTGTCTTTATTGAATTGCATCAAGTATACTCTCATCAATGATTTAGATAATGACATAGAAGCTGTTGAACAAAACTGGTCTCAGAACTGATCCCTGTGGAACCCCACTTGTTACACCCTTCCAGCATAATTGTGAACCACTGATAACTCCTCTCTGGGAATGGTTATCCAGCTAGTTATGCACCCACCTTTGTAATGGCTCTGTCTAGGTTATTTCTCTATTTTGTTATTGAGAAGGTCATGCGAGACTGTATTATATGCTTTACTAAAGTCTTGATATATACTGCTTCCCCCTTATCCACATGGAGGTATTTGTTGTTCTGTCAAAGAAAGATAACAGGTTGGTTTGACATGTGATTTCTTTTTTTACAAATCCATGCTTACTGTTACTTATCACCTTATTATCTTCTAGAATTTTGAAAATGGATTCCTTAAGTGTTTGCTTCATTATCTTTCTTGGTACAGAAACTATGGTTTCCTGGGTTGTCCTTATTTTTCTTTTTATAGATGGGTACTGTATTTGCCCTTTTCCAATCTTCTGGAATTTCTCCAGTCTTCCATGACTTTTCAAAGATGCTAGCTAATGGCTCAGCTATTTCCTCATTCAGCTCCTTGAGTATTCTAGGATGCATTTTATCAGGCCCTACTGACTTTAAGACTTCTAACTTGTCTAAATAATTTTTAACTTGTTCTTTTCCTATTTTAGCTTCTGAATCTTCCCTATTTTCATTATTGTTCACTATGACAGACATCCAATCAACACCAACTTTCTTAGTGAAAACTGCCACTAAGTTTTTAAGCATCACTGCCATTTCCACATGTTCTGTTGTTGTTTTTTGCCATCTTCATTAAGCAGGGGGCCTACCCTATCCTTGATCTTCCTTTTTTCATTGATTTGTAAAATATTTTGTTGTTACCATTTATGTCTCTAGCTAATTTGAGCTTGTTTTGTGCCTTGGCCTTTTTAAATTTGCCCCTATGTACTTGTGTTATTTGTATTCATCCTTTGTAATTTGACCTATTTTCTACTTTTTGTAGGACTCCTTTTTGATTTTTAGATCATTCAAGATCTCACTGATTTAAGCCTGTGTTTTCTCTTGCCATACTGCCTATCTTTCCTATGCAGTGGAATAGATTGTTTTTGTGCCCTAAATGTCTTTTTGAAAAACTGCCAGTTGTCTTCAATTTTTCCTCTTCTGGGTTCCCATGGGATCTTACTTACCAACTCCCTGAATTTGCTAAAGTCTGCCTTCTTGAAATCCACTGTCTTTGTTTTTCTGCTCTCCCTCCTGCCATTCTGTAGAATAATGAACTCGGTCATGTCATTATCACTTTCATCTTTAGGACTGGGAAATAGTATTCTTTATAACTTCTGCCTAGATCATGGAGAGTCCTGGTACATGTAAACTTAGGTTCATGCTGTGTTTTAGCTGTAAACTGTAAATCCTTTAGATTAACTCTGCAAGAGGCCCTTTTTTTCTGTGTTTATACAGCACCCATCCAATTTGGATCCTTGGGCACTGCCATACTATAAATATTATTATTGTCATACTATAATATTAATAATAAAATAATGGATCATGGGTTTAATTATCAAAATACATTTGTGATCAAAGTGACATTTTTGACATGTAGAACATCATAGAAGAATTCTTTTCAAAGGCAGTCTCAGAAGGTTGTTTATTATTGAAGATTTGGTGAAGATCCAGGTATCAGTCGAAGGCAAGAACTGCCACTGGCAGGACTGATTCAAAGAGACATGTATAAAATGAGGGATCACCTTGAGGGTAGAACCATCCTTCAAATCTGTCTGCAAAACTGGGATGTATTTGCTTGTATTAAAGATCTCCAGAAATATATATCCAGAGAGAAAATTTAAGCAGTAACTTTCTAGTACCAGCATGCTGACATCTGGATGAATAGTCAACACTTACAGTTTACGGTTGGGCAATGTCTCATATGCAGTTAGGAAAATGTTTTACATTAGTGATTATGAATAATCTTGTGAGCAGGCTGTCGGAACTCTTGAGATTGGTCTTTCGATCTAGAAGTGATCTAGATGCCCAAAATTAACCAGAATTTATTGTTTATACATTTTAAAGAGCCTTTAAGATCAGTTGTAGTTTCTATTGGCTAAGAATCTAGCCTGGTTTGACAGACAAAATCTTAGCAGCCTTTTGCTATGACAAATCTACTTCAGTATTCTGATGCTAATGAATGTGGCTGAATGCAACCCAATAGATAATCAGCTCTGTCCATAAAGAACTTTTACCATCTTCTGACCTAAAATTTGTTACTGGAATATATGTATGTTTTTGTCATAGAACTTTTTAATTCTGCTATACTAAGCTCAAACATCATAGATATAATATGAACTTAGCCGCTGTGTTGTTGAATCCCAGAATTCATTATCCTAGCTCCTGGATTGTCTCATAGTCCACCTAAGAGTTGTAACATTGGGAGATACTAATATGAATTTTGCTTCTTTTTTTTTTTTTTTCAGGGTGGTAGTCAGGGGTTGACGGTGGTAATTCAGGGACAGGGTCAAACTACTGGCCAATTACAGTTGATACCTCAGGGTGTGACTGTAATACCAGGTCCAGGACAACAGCTAATGCAAGCAGCTATGCCAAATGGCACAATTCAAAGATTCCTTTTCACTCCATTATCATCAGCTACTACATCTAGCACAACTACTACGACAGTTTCCACTTCAACTTCAGGTAGGGTTTTCTGTTCAAAAGAAAAATATGTTTGGATTTAGGTTATTTTAATGTTTTTATATATTTGGAGTTAGTGTCTTTCATTAAAGTATCTTCATTAAAAGAACAGCATGTAGACTTAAAAATCTTAGAAGCTCTGTATAAAGCAGGAGCACTTCAGAAATTTTTGAAGTGGCTCCGGGCTGCCCTGGAAGGGACGGGGCCAGGACACTTATGTGCTTCCCCGCCAACAGGCCCTAATTGGTCTGTGGGTAGGAGAACACATGAGGTCTTTGTCCCTGCCCTTCCCAGAGAGAACTGCCAGCTGTTCTGAACAGCTGGTGGTTCCCCCCCCGCCCGCCAGGTCAATCAGGGCCTGGGAGCGTGGTGGGCATGCAAAGTCTGCCTCCGCCCTGCAAGGTCGGCTGCACTTAGTCACCTGCCAGCTGAGCAGCAGCTGGTGGGTGACTCTTAAGTGCGGAGCCCCTTTCAGATCAGGAAGAGACTTCATGCACTCCTCCCTGTCCTCGGGCCCTGATTGGCCTGGGGGCAGGGCAAAGCGTGAAATCTCTCACTCCCTGCCCTCTGGCACGTGGCACTTAGTCAACCACCAGGGTTGACTGTAAGCACTGCACACTCTTCCATCCATAGGCCCTGATTGGTGCAGCAGGACCTGATTGGGGCAGGGGTGCAGCAGGACTTCCGTGGGCTGGATTAACCCGCTTGGTGGGTCGGATCTGGCCCACAGAGGCCCTATTACCCACCTCTGGTATAAAGCATTGTTTTTTAAACCAAAAGGGAAGTAGTGTTTCCTCAACTTTAGAAAACCTAAGGGCCTTGACTATACTACACTGTTTGGTAGGCAAAAGGCAGCTTTTGCTGACTAAAGGGGTGGTGTGCTCACTGCATTGCTACTTTCTCCTGTTTTGCCAACCAAAACAAAACCACCTTAACAAGAGGATTAAAGCTTTTTGTGAAGAAGTTAGTGAAATAGCGTCAATGTAGGTGCTGCCATTAGTTATGTTGCCTCCCCAAGCATCACACAATGCCTCTCTGCTCAGCTGCTCTGCATTCCAAGTACAAAGGCATGCACTCCTCCCCACTCAAAGCTCTGGGAAGTTCTGACAACTGAGTGTGCTGTTCCACTGGGGCAGCAAACAGCGAATCATTAACATCCCCAAGCACTATGGCAAGGGCAGAGTTGTGTGTCTTGCGACCGCTGGGCTATGCAGCACGGAAGAGGGAGGCAGCAGCTGATACCAGGGTTGTCCCTTCTCCTTGCTTCAGGCTGGTTGCTTCTGGCAGCTGTTTGAAATTAAAGACAGCATGCAGCACACACATTGCTCTCCATATCCCCATTTTCTTGCACGCTTTCCCTCTCCTCCGATCCAGCACACTCCTTGTCACATGTACTCTTCTCCTCCTTCTCCCCACTTCATTTGAAAAACAGCTTACAATCAGGATACCCATGGAATGATGGGATTGAAAAGTCTGCACCATGTGATGCTGTATTGCCCCTTGAGGCATTGCAAATCCTTCCCAAAGCACTCTGTGGCCAGTTGCACAATGGGATAACTACCCACAGTGCACTGCTCTTCGTAGATGCAAGAACTGCTAGGGTGGGTGCACTCTGTCGATACAAGGAGCATAGTGTGGACTTGAAATAGTGGTTAAATTAAAACAGTTTGTTTAAAGTGGCATAACTTTGGTTGACAAAACTCTGAAGTGTTGATATGACCTAATTGTTGAAATGAATGAAGTTTGTTGACACATTGCTTGGAATGAGTGGAATATTTTGTTTTTATCCTTCACAGCTACAGGAGAACAGAAGCAAACCTCTCAAGCACATACACCACCAGTGCTGCCACCAATTCAGCCCCACCCGAACAATCAATTGCAAGCTCAGCCACAGGTGCAAAGCCAGAGCATTCAGCCTCAGCCTCCAGGCCAGCCACAGACAACGCAGCCCCCAGGCCAACCAGAAGATCAGACGCAGCCTGAATCTCAGTCTCCAACTTCAGCTCAGTCTCCAGTCGTATCTGAAGCACAGCCTGTTATGGCACAGTCAACTAAAACTCCAGTCACAGTTCAGCCTCCGACACAGGCCCAGGTTCAAGGGCTGTCTCAAATTCAAGTCCAAAATCAACCACAGACTGCCATCCATCCACAGGCACCATCCCATGTCCAAGGCCTCCAGCAAGCTCAGGTGCAGACCACAACCCAGCAACAGGTACAAATGCAACCCCAAGCTTCTATACAGATACAAGCTCAACTGCAACAGCAGTCGCAACCCCAGGTTCAGACTTCAGCTCAGACTCTCCCAGCTGCACAAAACTTAAATCAAGTTACTGTGCAATCTCCGTGTCGCCCTCAGCTCCAGATCCAGCAGCCTACAGCAAAAGTTATCACTGTACCTCAACAAGTCCAAGTTTTCTCCCAACTTCAGTCTCATGTTGTAGCTCAGATACAGGCCCAACAAGGCGGTGTGCCCCAGCAAATTAAGCTTCAGTTACCTATTCAGATTCAGCAAGCCAGTCCAGTGCAGACTCACCAGATTCAGAATGTGGTAACCGTTCAAGCGGCTAGCAGCTGAGGGAGCAACAGCAAAAGAAAAAGCAGCAACAGATAGAAATTAAACGTGAACACACTCTTCAGGCTTCTAATCAAAGTGACATTATCCAGAAACAGGTAAAATCATCAGAAGTAAATACAAACCATGCTGAACACACATTTCTCATAATCATATTCATACATCAGATAGCCTGTGAATTGAGCGCCTCAGATTTTTATTTCTAAATTACATTGCAGACTTATTTTTGCCAATTTAATAGGGCCTCTAAGTTAATTCAGCACATTAAGAGACTACTGTTCTGTGCTTTCTATCTGGCACTTTGATTTGATTTATGTATCGCTGACTATTGGGAGAAATATATCTTCAGTGTTAGTCCAGAAAAGGTGAGAACTGGTGGTTTGCAGCACTTCTACTGTGTTTTCATTGACTATTATAGAAAGGAGACTATAAGAACTATATTAAGTATAATGCTGTTAACTTCAGGGGGATGGACTGTAGGGAAGGAAAAAATGGGGAGAAACTGTACATGTAGGGAACTCTTTTGTCATGCTCTGTAGTTTCAGTGACCTGTGATAAGATAATCTCTTCAGTTTGAAAGATCTTGCCTTACAGCTTACATTGGATCTAACATTTAGATTTGGTATAATCAAGCTTTTATGAAGCCTTTCCATGATTTTTTTTTAAATTCCAAGAAAAACATCTGTTTAAATAAGTATTCCCCCTTCAGTGTTGGCAACTAAAACAGCAATAGGAAATAGCAATGGGAAAGTGTAACTGACTACAAAATGAATCTGATTTCGCTTATTTTTTTTTCTCCAGAAATAATGAAAATTTAAGTTGAATCTCTAAATTCCTTAGTCATACTTTTAAGATTTTAAGTATAAAAAGTAGGGCTGTTAGCATGTGCTTATGTACACAATTAACCAGTAAGCCTGGGCTCATCGGTTAACCTGCACGGTTGCATGTAGGCAGTGGGAGGGTTGCCAGCGTGCATGGAGAGCCAGCGTGCACACCCCATCCCCTCTGCTGCCTCAGAGGCAGCAGTGTGGGGGAGACAGGCAGGAGCCAGTACACATCTCTCCTGGAGATGCCTGCCCCCTATGCTGCTGCCTTTTTATCAGAGACAGCAGCGAAGGGGGGGTAGCCAGCTCCCCGCAGTTACTGGCTCCTGCCTGCCCCCCACATGTAAACATGTAACCGCTGGAAAATTCAGCAGTTACACGGTCATCTGAAGAAGTGGGCTGTGCCCACGAAAGCTCATGATACCATCTACATGTTTTGTTAGTCTATAAAGTGCTTCCAGACCATTTGCTTGCTGTTTTTTCCAAAAATAAACATATTTTAACATCCCTAATAAAAAAGTTAATACCTTCAAAATAGTGTAAATAACTTACTTGTTAAAATGTGATTTAATTTGGCAAGTGTCCACATTTCCCCAGTATTATCAGACACTACCTTAAGTTTTCAAATATTGTTTGGACTTTGTGTTCAAGGTGGTGATGAAACACAATGCTGTAATAGAATATTTTAAACAGAAAAA